GATGACTTCTGTTGTGACTTGGTGCTCTATAAATAAACTGAATTGAATTGAATAATCTTGTTTTGTCAGCATTACACCCATCAGGCTGTGTTCAACAAGCCGATTCAGGAGGAAGTTATATTATAAAGAGCCAGTGAAAAGTTGTAGGACAGCTCTTCACTAACCTTAAAATGCTTATTCCATTTAAATAATTCATAAATAATATAATGATAATAAATTATGTAGGGATGTTCTTACGCGAGGAGCAGGAAACACATTCTGCACGATAAAAGCATGAATAAAAATTTATGAAAAACATGGAGGAAGTTAAACAATTTGTGTTTACATCACACGAAGCTGCGAAGACAGGTGGACCGTCGGGGATGTGCTCCGAGGTCAAACGGGACCACGAGGGACACCTCAGCTCCAGCACACCTGCAGGACGTCTGCTTACATCAGATTCTGTTGGACGGTGCACGATGGGTTCCAAACCTACTCACTAATGCACTCGAGAAGCAAAACATCAAGTGAGTGCTGCATGAAGTGTTCTGGCCTCATATGTACACCTGACAGACGACTGGCTCCTGCGTTGGAGGAGATGTGCAGGATTCTGCAGAGTGGCTGTTTTCTACCATTACAAAGGCAACACACATGGAGTTGGTTGTACAATCAGCAGTTTGTGGAATAATTATAAAAGATTAGTGACTGTATTTGACGTAAACTGACAGGTGCAGCCAGAGATGAGAAACTGAGGGTCAGAAATGTTCACGAATGATGTTTTGAAGGTTTTATGTAGGTATGAGTCCACGTGGGTCCAACTGTAGCAGCTCTTGTACGTTAAGCCTTCAGCGGTGTGTGTGGGTGTGTGTGTGTGTGTGTGTGTGTGTGTCTGTGTGTGTGAGAGATTCAAACTAAAACAGAGCAGAGAAGTAAAAGAAAGGAGAGGAACTGCAGGAAGGAGGAAGCAGCAGCAGCTCAGATGGCGTAAATCTGGCCCTCGGGCGGCTGAGGAAGCTTCATGTTCTCCTTGCACGCCATGAGCCGTCGCAGCTCCAGCAGCACCAGCCGAATGCTGTAGGAGTTCTGCCACTTGGCCAGCGCCGTCACAGCGTGCATGTCCACCTGCAGGGACACAACAAACGTCAAACTCATCAAACCTGCCACAAACTGTGTCCTGGATGACCCTAAAGGCCTAAAACTAGCCTGGCTGTCCAAACACGAGGGGTCCACCGCCACGTACGTTCAGCAAAGCTTCTCTTAGCCGGGCTCGCTGAAGCCTCGCACTCCTTTAACAAGTTGCAGGCGCTACGATGGAGGTGGACTGCTTTAGTCTTGGTGTGCCTTCCCATGAAAAGAGGCGTTCCACAAGTCATTTGATGCCGTCTGCTCAAAACGCACCAGTAAAGTTACAAAAAACCTGCTAGCTCTGAGGCTTGGTTCAAACAGGACAGCATGTCAGGACTATTTATTTATGGAAAATGATGATGGTAAAGATCCTAAGAGGACATTTCCACCATCAGAAGAGAAGAAGTTGCCAGCTGCTGTTTGAGACGGGACAGAAACAGCTGAACTCCACGATCAGGTGTGAAAAATCACCTCACTGATCAGATGTGGCGTTTCCTGGAACGTTCAGAGGAGCTGACAGGATCAGTCTGAATCCAGAGCCAGTATGAAACACAAGCGTCACATCTCCACAGCATGAGCTGCTTCTGGCGACGTTATCCACACGCTCCGTTTACGTCAGCAGCAGGAAATAAAACTTTTCAAGCTTCTGAGCATATTCTCTAGCATTTCTTGAGGAGAAACATCAAGGTCATTTAAAACGAAGGGCTCGGGATGATTTTTTTAAAAAACTTTAGATTAGAATTGCTACAACTATTGATTTAATAAACTGGTTACATGGAACTGTAACGCAGAATTCACTTTGCTGGTGGTTAAATTTAACTATTAAAATGCAAACATTTGGTCAGAACGCTGACTTCAGACGATGGCAGAACTTTTATATTTAAGGTCAGTGTTTCTCCCACATTACTTGCAGGGCGTCATCTCTTCAGGTGACAAGTGAAGGGGGTGGGGGTGTTCGGTTCTGTTGACAGGGCGTGGCGCCCTGCTTGTACAATGGTAGGGGAAACACTGATGGTTTTTATTTTTCAATCTGACATGTCTTTTAAATCTTGCCGTCAGACAGAACTAGAAATGTTCGTTTCTACCTGTGAAATCATCCAGCGCATAATAAATGACCAGCTTTTACGGAGTTATGTGAAACTCTGAGCTCACCAGCCACACATCCAATCACTGAAAACTCAACGTAGCTGGCTGAATGAGAAACGGTTCTTCACAGAGCACCACCCCCACGTGGTTCTCCTTGAACCGAGCTACATCCACAGCTGGATTACGTACCACGCCGCTGGAAGTGTGCACGCCGTTCAAGTTGATCTTCGTCACAAATCTGACAAACGGCGGCGAGTCTGGGTATCCTGGCCCACATTCCACCTTCAGGTTGTACATCCTGTTTTCATAACTCGTCTGCAGGCAGAGAGGCGTAAACACGTGAGAAGACCGAACGGCAACAAACGTCACGCACGGTTTACGACACGACGAGCCACCGCGTCACGTGACTCATTAACGTGTTGCCTGCAAACTCTCGGGGAGCTAAAGAGAAATATGCCCACATGCTTCTGAAGAACATGAGGACAGTCAGAGACATGAACACGACAGTCTGATTTAAACAGCACGCAGTAGATCAACGTGCTTCACTTGAAAACAAGATTTAAACAAACATTAAAAACACATAGAAAACCTCATTTTAAAAACATGTAAACGAGCTCCATCTTAAGCCTGAGAAGAAAGAACATTTTTAACCTGGATTTAAAAATACTAGCTGCAGATGTTTTGGTAATTTGTTCGGTTTGTGTGGCAGCACAGCTAAATGCAGCTTGGTTTGAACTCTGGTCTCCACTGTTTGACCCGAGCCTACACTACATCTCAGAGGGTTCGTATTGCATCAACATGCTGGTGCCAAACCAGAACATACGAGAACTGAACCTTGAGGAGCTTCATTTGATCCTACTTATATCTCCTACAAGAGTCGGGTAACCTTTACAGCAACAGTTTAAAATGGCCCCACTAACCCTGGGAGGGCCAAGGATCACTCCTCTCCACCGGGTTAAGGTCATATCCTCGTCGTCCTCCAGACCCCAGCTCACCGTACCATCTCCCACACCTTTCTGACCTTCTTCCAGCTCCTCCAGCAGCCGGAAGTTGCGAGGAACTTTAACGCCTGTTTGTGGACAAACACACAGAAAGCCGTCAGGTACATTTGTATCAGGACAGGTGCAATCAGGGCTCGTTCTGTCTGAACCGAAGCCAGGTGAGTCATTCTGACACACGGGGGGGGGTCAGGGCTGGGACGGTGCCCCATCCTCTGTCCCCTGCCTGCAAGGAGACACCCTGTCCAACAGAGACACCCTGTCCAACCCTCCCAGCTCAGCCCTCTGCCGGGGTTTGATCCTCCACCTGGCAGCGGGGTGTTAGAAAACTTCTTGTGACTGTTGACTAAACAAAACTGTTGATGACATTTAATGATGCATCTGGTTTATCATCTGTCTGCAGCCTCAGTAAACAGAGCTGCACATCCGGGTGGCGTTCAGGGTCAAGATACAGCTGGGAAATTACAGTACCAGGTAACGTTCACGTCCAAATACAGCTGGGAAATTACAGTATCGAGGGGCGTTCATGTTCAACATACAACTGGGAAATTACAGAACCAGGGGACGTTCAGGTTCAAGATACAACTGGGAAATTATAGTGTCGAGGGACGTTCAGGGTCAAGATACAGCTGGTAAATTACAGATGGTGTCCCACGGTTCACGGACGGAACGGGAGTTATTTCGCAAGTCATCATGCAGCATCTCGTCGCCTCCTTCCTCTCCAACTTGTTTCCGTTAGCACTCGCGCCATCGCCTCCGACTCGTTTAGTTTTTTTTACAGCTTAAGCTTCTGTGACGTCACAGACACAGTCCGTATCAAGCCGGCCATGATAAATCATTTTTAAAACGTCAACTTCTGCTGTATGGCTTGCTTCCATCACTTACCTGATCCGGCGGCGACCGCCATCTTGTTGCTACGCAGCGGGGGCGCGCACTATAGCCAACAGCGCGTGCACGAGGAGGAGGAGGAAGACGACGCCAGCGGTCGCTTCTTTGATGTCTCCTAAAACTAAAAACTGTCCTCAGGGCGGAAGTGGGAGGAGCTTATACTACGAACACAAAATAACAAGTCCAGCTAAAGGCTCGTTTTATTTAAAACATGGTAATCTAAACATTTATTTACAAATAAACTTGGCAACCTAAACAATTATTTACAAAAAAAATGGCAGCCTAAACATTTATTTACAAATAAACATGGCAACATAAACATTTATTTACAATATTAATGGCAACCTAAACATTTATTTACAAAAATCATGGCAATCTAAACATTTATTTGAAAAAAATCATGGCAATCTAAACATTTATTTGCAAATAAACATGGCAACCTAAACATTATTTACAAAAAATCATGGACACCTAAAACAAATAAACATGGCAACCTAAACATTTATTTACAAAAAATCATGACAAACTAAATTTTATTTACAAAACCGACTTCTGTATTCTGCTGGGGGACTTCAATGCCCACGTGGGTAATGACAGTGTGACCTGGAGGGGCCTGATTGGGATGATTGGCCTCTCTGATCCAAACTTGAGTGGTGTTCTGTTGTTGAACTTCTGTGCTAGTTATAGTTTGTCCATCACGAGCACCATGCTCAAACATAAGGGTGTCTGTAAGTGCACTTGGCACCAGGACACCCTATGTTGTAGATTGATGATTGACTACATAGTCATGTCATCTGATTTGCGACCATTTGTTTTGGATACCCAGGTGAAGAGAGGAGCTGAGCTGTCAACTGATCACCACCTGGTAGTGAGTTGGATCAGATGGTGGGGGAAGATGACAGACCCGGTAGACCCAAACATGTAGTGAAGGTTTGCTGGGAACACCTGGCAGAAGAACCTGTCAGAGAGGTCTTCAACTCACACCTCCGGGAAAGCTTTAACTGTATCCCAGCTGAGGTGAGGGACAATGAATCCGAGTGGGCCATGGTCCGCGCCTCACTTGTTGAGGTAGCTTCTTTGAGCTGTGGCTACAAGGTTGTTGGTGCTTCTCACGGTGGCCATGCACAAAGTCGGTGGTGAACACACCGGGTTAGGGAAGCTGTCAAGCTGAAGGAGTCCGATCAGGCCTTATTGGCCAGTGGGACTCCGGAGGCAGCTGAGGAGTACCGGAGGGCCAAGAGGTCCGCAGCCTTGGCTGTTGCTGAGGCAAAAGCTCATATGTGGGAGGAGTTTGGTGAGACCTTGGATAGAGACTCTCGGGTGGCTCCGAGGAGATTCTGGCAAACGATCAGGAAGCTGAGGAGGGGAAAGCAGCTCTTTACTAACACTGTGTTCAGTGAAGGTGGAGTGCTATTGACCTCAACCAGTGATGTCGTTGGGAGGTGGAAGGAATACGTCTCAGACCTTCTCAGTCCCACCAGCACATCTTCCATGGAGGAAGCTGAGTTGGGGTACTTTGAGGCTGATCTGTCCATAACTGTGGCTGAGGTCACCGAAGTAGTTAAAAAGCTCTGAGGCGGCAGTACTCTGGGAGTGGATGAGATTCACCCTGATTTCCTTAAGGCTCTGGATGTTGTGGGGCTGTCTTGGTTGACACGCCTTTGCAACGTCGCGTGGGCATCGGGGCATGCCACTGGATTGGCAGACTGGGGTGGTGGTTCCCCTCTTCACAAAGGGGGACCGGAGGGTTTGCTGCAATTATAGGGGCATCACTCTCCTTGGCCTTCCTGGTAAGGTCTATTCAGGGGTATTGGAGAAGCGAGTCCGATCGTTGGTCAAACCTCAGATCCAGGAGGAACAATGTGGATTCTGTCCTGGCCGTGGAACACTGGATCAGCTCTTTACCCTCACTAGGGTCCTCGAAGGGTCATGGGAGTTTGACCATCCAGTCTACATGTGTTTTGTGGACTTGGAGAAGGCCTTTGACCATGTTCATCAGGGTAAACTGGGGGTGGTGCTCTGTGACTATGGGATTGGGGACCTATTGCTATGGGCTGTTCAGTCCCTATACAAGCGGTGCAAGAGTTTGGTTAACATTGCCGGTAGTATGTCGAACCTCTTCAGAGTGGGAGTTGGAGTATGCTAGGGCTGCCTGTTGTCACAGATTCTGTTCATAACTTTTATGGACAGAATTTATTTGTACAGCCAGCGGGTGGAGAGTTTTCGGTTCGGTGGCCTCAGGATTCCATCTCTGCTCTTTGCAGATGATGTGGTCCTGTTGGCGTCATTGTGCCATGATCTTCAACTCTCACTGGAGTGACTCACAGCAGAGTGTGAAGCGAATGGGTTGAGAATCAGCACCTCCAAATCTGAGGCCATGGTCCTCAACCGGAAGAAGGTGGATTGCTCTTCTCAGGTCGAGGTTCTGCCTCAAGTGGAGGAGTTCAAGTATCTCAGGGTTTTGTTCACAAGTGAGCAAAAAATGGAGCGTGAGATTGACAGATGGATTGGTGCAGTATCTGCAGTATTGTGGACTTTGTACCAGTCTGTTGTGAAGACAGAGCTGAGCTATAAGGCAAAGCTATCTGTTAACCGGTTCGTCTACGTTGCTACTTCCTACCCTTACCTATGGTCATGAACTCTGGGTAGTGACCGAAAGAATAAGATCATGGATACAGGCGGCTGAAATGAGTTTCCTCTGCAGGGTAGCTGGACTCTCCCTTAGAGATAGTGTGAGAAGCTCAGTTATCCGGGAAAGACTCCGATTAGAACCTCTACTCCTCCACATCAAGAGGAGCCAGTTGAGGTGGTTCTTCTCCCTAGGGAGGTACTTCGGTCATGTCCGACTAGGAGGAGACCCCGGGGAACACCCAGGATACGCTGGAGAGACTATGTCTCTTGGTTGGCCTGGGAACACAATAGAATCCTCCCAGAAGAGCTGGAAGAGGTGGCTGTGGAGAGAAATGTCTGGACCTCCCTGCTCAAGCTGCTGCCCCCGCGACCCAACTTCAGAATAAGCGGAAGATAATGGATGGATAGCATTTGAAAAACCAAAGCAAATGTTCTTGTTTTTGGTATTTTACCTTGTTTTAGAAAACACCTTGATTTGACAGTTTTATAACATTACTTTTATTTTAATTGCATTTTATTGTTTATTGTTGTCTGTCAAAAACAGGTCTCTGTTGTAAATGAGTCCTTGTGACTCAATGAGACTAACTTGTATAAATAAAGGTTGAACGAGCTGTACACCTCTGGTGCTACCTGGGTCACTTCCAACACGAATATCTGAATATTGCCACTGAAATAATGTGTTGCAAAACTGATAACAATGCAAGTATTTAAATATTAGCATTTGCATAAACCTGTATAATTTTTGGTTGGAGACATTTTTAAAATGGCACCTATTCCCTTTAGTCCTGGCAGTAATCAGATGAGCCATTAGCTCATCGATAAAAGATAGTCCAAATATCTCTCAGTATCAACAGATATTGGTCCAAATATCACTCATTAAAAAATATTAGTCCAAATATCTCTCAATATCAACAGATATGAATCCAAATATGAACTGGTAAAATATTAATTCTTCATAACGTTTCCACAGAACCTCACTTCAAAATGAGCAGAATATCCCTTTACGTCCAGTAGGAGTTAACAGCTTGATGGAAAACAAAGGAACACTGAGCTGCTGTTTAATTACTTTGACTAGTCGTGGCTGGAGATGACGACATTAACGAAACCAAAGAAAGGACGACAACTAAGAAAAAACACAAAGTTTGTTAGTTTATTTATAAATACATTTTATTATGTACATTGTCAGCCTTCCACATGGAAGACAACAAGAAGGCATCAAGGCATTATTCTGATATCCAAGGTTCATCTCCACAGGCTCGACACATCCAGGTGGGTCTCGCCTCAAAAATGAAGATGTCATGAAGGGCTAGACCCAGTTTTCTTGACCGCGGTGCAACATTTAAATGAAAGGACAACTGTAAGGCAGGCCAACCCTAACACCAGTCAAACACGACTTCTGAACAAAATGTATTTGAGCACGTGGCGTTTAAAACGCCTGCAGTCCTCTGACGAAGCTCAGTGTATGAAAACTAAAAACTTCTTAATCACAAATTGTTTTATTGAACTAACAAGAGGCAAAGCAGTGACCCAACTCACGACGTGAAGTCAACTGATGGAAGAGGAGCCATAACTTTAATAATGGAGTGTTTATTTTTCCCCACTTCTTCCAAAATGAGCTAAACTATTCCAACAACAATCCTGAGGTCATTTAGAGAAAGCTAATCAACTAAACTGCTCGGCGGGGCCACAGCTCCTGAAAACCAAGAGCTCAGGGGCCGGACAGCCAGTGGTTATTCTCATTAAGGTTGTTTTAGGATTTAAACTCTAATTTTATTTAAAAATGAACCCATTGGTGGGACGAACTGAGCACGCCCATGGGTCAGCAGTTGATTTAGAGTCAAAGTGTTTGTTAGATTCCAACAAGTCAACGCGTTACGTCGTTAAATATTTCATTAAGTGTCACTCTACAACCAGTTAATGTGTTTACAACAGTCTGTTGCCAAAAACACACAACAGCCTTCAGTCTGGTTTATAAAACATCAAGTTCATGAAGCATCAGAGCATCCGACTGCGTTAAACATCGTTTTTATAATACTGATGAGGAAGAGCCTCGGCAGAGTCTGTTCCCAGATATCACTCCACGAAGAACGCACAAACTGCCTCACAACACCCGACAAGCTCAACACAAACTGCCTCA